CGTTCTCGGGAGATATAAGATCTACGAAAATGTAGTTACTGAGAGCCACCAGTGGAATTCCAGGCACTAATTGTTCTTACCCTGTACCTCACTAATAAGGGCACATGTTACCTGAAGCTTCATCTCCCTACCCACATTCTCAGTATTAAAGCCAAAAGAGAGAACACGAAGGTCAGAAAAAACTATTAACGACAGCAGTCCTGAACTCGGACACGTCTGAATGCTGCACTTTTAATCTAAGTTCTTTTACAAAATGAAATGAGCCTGAAAATATTTAAAAAATAAAAAGTTCTGAAGCATTGACAGTCTTCTGCACACTTTAAATTTACCTTTTCTTCCAAAGGCACTCTTATTCTGCCTCTTTCGTTTTCCATCTCTCCTCCTATAGAGATTTTCATTTACCAGTCACACTGCCATTCATCTCCATTTATCTTAAATGATGCATATGCTTATAGTGCAATTTCTTGTACGATTACTCCATATCCTGCTAAAACAACAGTAAGCACACAATCTTCAAAAAAATCCAGACTCTGAGTAAATGGTGGGAAAAAAAAAAAAGTACTTCATCACTTATAACAGCAGAAGTCCACGCTCCATAGGTCATAAAAGTTTAATAGAACATTAAGGAATTTAACCTAGAAGAGCTTAATGAAAGAATAACTGGAAACAGTTGCCCAAAGAAGTCACGAGAAGGTGAAGAGTCTGGTATAGAGGAATCTACATACGTGCAGAGAATTAACTATCAAACAGCTATTTACTGAAAGAAGAGCCCCTTCCAAAGCTGTAAGAATAAGTTCAATGCACAGTATAGAAATATTTGCATCATGCTAGTGTGGGATAAAAGGCTGAAACCGACACTGAACATGTTTTCACTTGGCCATTCGTCAGAAAGCACTGCTTGGTAAAAGCAGTCAGAATAGAAAACATAACAGGCGATCAGGAATTTTTATATTGTGAAACAATGACTTTTTTTTTTAGGCAAATGCTATACAAAAAAAGTGCAGGGCCTGGATAGCATACTCCTTATAGGCAGGTTGAAGCGAGCACTTACGGTGTTCGGTTAAGCTTATTTACTGTCCTAAAAACTACAGGCATCACCTCTGTAGTGATATACTCTTGCTTATAGTGGGTCCACCCCAAAACTACTCTCCATGCTTGTAATTAAGACAGGATCATACCTGCGACACGACGAGCCCTTTCTGCAAGAAGCTGAACAAAGCTTAAAACGGACAGGAAGTTCACTGGACCAGGTCTACTAGACCAGCACTGGCAAATTTCTTCCCTCTTTTCAAAAAAAAAAAAAAAAAAGAGAGAGAGAGAGAGAACTACGACAGAGCTTCGTTCACTCAGCTTAAAATACTCGGGGCTGCGTATATGCAGTTCGCAAGCGGCCTGCTCATTCACCCCAATTTTTCCTCCACCAACGCCCACGATTTACACCCAGCGGGTTGCCAACTCCAGAATAAAGAGGAGAGCACGACGGCCTCTCCTTTCGGTCCGCGGAGCCTCGCCAGCGCCTCAGACGCTCGCCATCAGCGCGGTCCTCACGAAGCCCCTCTTCAGAGGCCCGCGGACGCAGGGAGCCGGCCCTCAAACCGCCC